GCACACCCCTGCACCCTCCTCTACTTGTCCCTTTGCCTACAGCTCTCTTCAGCTTCTTATGTTCCATACACTTTGCTTTCCCGACACCACTGAGTCGGGAACCCCCCAGGTATAAGGCTATAAGTTTTACCCCAGGGGCCTGAACCAGTGCTCGGAACCTCAGCACATGTCAGTTGTTAGCAACTTGCACCATTGCTGGGCACCTGGGTGGATCAAAACCAGCTGCCTTCGGGGATGGGGCACATGCAGGTTGGAGGGGATCAATGGGGAGAAAAAAAAGGGTACATCTGTAATACTTTCAACAATAAAGATAAACTTTTTCTTTTTTAAAATATATCTTTATTGATTTCAGAGAGAGGAAGGGAGAGGGAGAGAGAAACATCAATGATGAGAGAGTCATTGATCCATTGCCTCCTGCATGCTTCCCACTGGGGATCTAGCTCACAACCCAGGCATGTGCCCTGACTGGGAATCGAACTGGGATCTCCTGGATCATAGGTCGATGCTCAACCGCTGAGCCATGCCGGCTGGCCAAACCAGCTGCTTTCAAAATGATAGGAATCTTTGTTTAATTCTGATTCTGTGGCGTTCGAATAGCTACTCTGAGCCATATGCTATAGAGGACAACTCAGAATTAGAAAGATCTTTATTTTCAGTCGACCAGTCTTTCTGACCAGGTATAAAGTGAAACAGAGTCCCTGGACAGTGTGGCTCGGTTGGGTGTTGTCCCATGCACGGAAAGGTTGCTGGTTTGATTTCCAGTCAGGGCACATGCCCAGGTTGCAGGCTTGATCCCTGATAGGGAGTGTGCAGGAGGCAGCTCAATCAATGTTTTGCTCTCGGTGTCGATGTCTGTCTGTCTCTCTTCCCCTCTCCTTTCCTCTCTCTCTAAAAATAAAAAAGTTAAAAAAAGTGAAACAGAGGAGCCTGGTCACTTCTTTTTCTTTCTTTTTTAAAATTTTATTTTATTTTACTGTTGACAGTGTTTAAAAAAAAAAAAAGTTTATTGATGTCCCCCGATTCCCACCCGCTTTATCACCTTCCTCCTAGCCCCTGCCCCACCCCAGGCCTTCACCACACTATTGTCTATGTCATTGGCTATGTGAGCCTGGAATTTCATTCTCCCACAGCCCCTAGTTTCCCTCGTTCGTCTCTTGTGTGTGGCTTCTGAGAGCATGGATATTGCTCACTTAATCAAGTGAAGCCACTAACCTCGGTCCCCTGGGCAACTCTGTCACAGTGTGACCTTTGATTCCTTTAGAGGCTGGGCTGTTCTCAGGGTTTGCTGTCCAGCCAGCAGAGACCTTCAGCCAAGGAAGGGCAAGACTATGGGAGCCTTCATCTGCTCAGATGTCCTTGCTTAGCACTCAGTTCTGAAAGAAGCCAAGAGAGGGGTCTTCCTCTGGGACCTTGGGGAAAGACCCCGCGTCTCTTCCCCAAATCATGACACTCATCAGACTTGTTCATTAGGTTTCACCCTGTAGGGCTATGGCACCAGCAGCAATCAAACCATCACCTTCCAGACTCATCCACAGCCTGCAGCCTCCCAGCACCTGCAGCCAGAGGTACTCCTCGGTGGTACTGAGATCCTGGGAGATCATGGGTGTTCGTAGTGCCTTCGAGGCAGGGCAGGCAGAGGGTGTTTGGGAGTTGTGGGGCAGTTTGCAGTGAGCAAATGGTTGGTGTTGGCAGAAATCCTAGGGGTGGTTAAGGTGATAGATGTGCTTTGTGTTCTTCCCACTGTTTTCTCTCCCCATTACCCATTCCCTGCTTGAGAGAATAAAGACTCATTTTTGCTTTTGAAACTGCTGACCTCTGGTGGACCTGTGGGGAGAAGCTTGGGGTTGTTGGTCTGCTGCTTGAGGCTTCAAGGGAGAGACTGTAAGAACAGCCTGTGGGTGTGGGGAGTGAAGGCCATAGGGCTGCTTCCCAGCTTCATGCACTCATATGCCCCCAAGAGAGGTCTGGGACCTGGGTGAAGCAGCGGCTCCCACCAAGCCTCCCCAAGCCATTGGCCGGCCCCATACCTGGCTGGATGTGGGTGTCTTGGCCCATCTGGCCAACTGGGAATAGTATTTCAGGGTTGGGATGGGATGGAAAGAGCACCACTTAACCTAGCTGTGTCAGGGCAGGCAACGCCTTCACAGTGGGCACAGGTCCCCCTCTCATCTACCTGCGGGGGGACAGCAAGGGTCAGCCATGGTACTTCGCTCAGGCAGTGGCTTCTCCTTAGTGTCCAATACCAAGTGCTGTCAGTATTTAGCACAGGGGCTGAGCAGCCAGGCTGTGGGGGTGAGGGCAGGCTGGCTTCCCTGTTGGGGAGTTTCAGAAGCTCCTGCTGGAAACAACCCCTTTGTATGTGGCTCCCCAGTGCAGGGAGTAAGGAGCCACATGGAACCGCCAGGAGCCTCTTCTCTGGGCAAGGGCTTCCTGAGTGATAATCCACCAGAGTAGCAAGCACATTCCTTAGGCCCCTTTCCTTCTTCCATTTATGAGATGCTTCTCAGTTCCCCCCAAGTGTCGCACATTGAACCAACTGTGCTGTGAGCAGTGAACAAAACACAGGGCCCCGCCTCATGACTGAATTCTGGTAGAGGAAACAGCATTAACCAGCAGACAGGTAGGTGTGTCCTGTGGTCAAGTGCCCAAGGCATGTGAACAGCACTTGGATTGCTTGTGGGGCTGCGGCTCGTGTCAGGGTTCACCTCACTGAGAAAGTGGCACTTCAGTTGAAACCTGAAGGAGGGAAGGAGCTCCGGGGCACCTGGAGGGAGACTTGTAGTCAAGGGCAGTACAAAGGCCCTGACAACAGCAGGGTGGCTGATGTAGCTAGACTTACATGGGGTAGAAAACAAGGTCAGAGAAAAGTAGGCAGGTCACGCGGGGCTGCTGGCATTTTGGGATCTCGGCTGGGACTGCCAGAGTGGAAGCCATGGGGTCTATGGCGGAGGGCAGATAGAGGGGGCCGGTGCTGAGGGCTGGACTTTGCAGGTCCCTGCAGGTGGTGCAGACAGGATTTGCTAATGGTTTGAGGTGCATTGTGAGAGAAGTGAGTCAGGGACAGAGTTGCCGTGTTTGGTCTGAGCAAACCAAATTGCCTTCACTGAGGCTGGTTTCGACAGTTGCGGTGGTGCACCTAGGGCACTGCTGGCATCTGCAGGGAGTTGGGTGCTGTGTGCTCCCTGAGAGGACATCCTGTGGGACTTGGCATCCCCCACCCTTCCTCTGCTGCCCACTACTCCTTTTGGGAGACAGGCCCTGTCCTGCCTGACTGCCCACCTTCATCAGGTGGGGCCTTCATCAGGTGTGCAGGAAGAGGCATTAGAACACCCCTGGGGCATTGCGCCTCTGTGACAGAGATAAAAGAGGCTTCCCTTGAGCCCTCACACTCTGGTTGGACTAGAGAGTCCAGGGCTAGCCTGAAATACAATTTGTGTGTGTCTTCCAAAAATATTTTCTCCTCTTTAACATACTGAGGTCTGGAAAGATGCTTTCTTGCCCTCGGGGTCTTCACTTGTAGTTTCCTCTGACCAGCAGGAGCAGTGTACTGGGAAGAAGTACCCTCGGGTGGGGTTTTGTGTGATCTGTGTGCCTGTGTAGAATTTACTGTGTGAATGGGTGATGGCACCGGCAGTAATGAAGCCTGCTGTCTGCAGCTTGTGTACGTCTGGTGTGGTGCGGCTGCACATCAACAGCTGGCTGGAGGTGAGCTTCTGTCTGCCCCACAAGATCCACTATGCTGCTGCAAGCCTCATCCCCCCTGAAGCTATCGAGCGGAGCCTGAAGGCCATTCGGTGAGTGCTGGCCCCATGCAAACTCCCTGCAGGGTCCCTTCTCTTCTGCGTGAGGTTTCACCAGTTACTTTGTTCCAAAAATTCTTTTCCTCTTCCTGCCACAGAAATTGGCAGATAAGGCTCTCATGTTTATAGAAGTAAAAACACATGTTTTTGTGTCTGGTTTTGTATAGAAATGACCAGCCCCAGGTTTTCCCTGGGCTCTCTGGGCACTGCCTGGGTACTGTGGGGTCAAGCATCCTGGGGAAATGACTTACCACTGGAGGGATGTTGTCATGGTGTTGCTCACCCATTCCTCTTGCATTTGAATCTGAACTTGCAGATCTCTGTTTCTTAATTTAACTGATTTCCTGCAAGGAAAGAACTGAGCCAAATCTCCTCCTGCCCCAGCCCCCAACCAAGTCCCCAGTTTCCTTAAATATTTTTTAACTAAAAAAAGAAATCTGGGCACATTACAGAAAATTCGAAGATGAAAGAAAAGCACTGCCTCATTCTCTCTTCCCCACCCCCAGTCTGTTCTCCAAGTCAATGTCTTTCCTCCTGGCTTCCTTGCTGAGCGTATTTTTATGTGGTTCTATTCATAGTCTCAGCAGCAATTTTACTTTTCCCTTATTTGGGACTCATTTCCTTAGGAAAGATTCATTTATTTTTTCAATCAACAAACATTTGCAGTGTAATCCCAGAGGTGGGAGGTGGAGTCTGGTCGTCATTTCCTCAGTTTTTAAAAAAAGTATGTTTTTATTGATTTTACAGAGAGAGGAAGGGAGAGGGAGAGAGAGAAACACTGATGTGAGAAACGTCTATTGTCCCCCTCTAGCATGCCCCTCACTGGGGATTGAGCCTGCACTCAGGGCATGTGTCCTGACTGAGAATCAAACCAGCTGCTTTTTGGTGCATGGGACGACATTCAACCAACTGAGCCACACCGCCTGGGCAGACCTTCCTTAGTTTTGTTTTAATTTTTTTTCTTTCTGAGAGTGATGCTTGCAGATGTTTAAACGCCCCTGGACATATATTCCCCTTGTCTCTAATTCCTCCTGTGGTCTTTCTTCTCTGAGGTTCAGTGCCTGTGGGCCCCAGCTGCACCTTTATGTCCCAGGTGCACACCTGGTGCAGGACACCTGTGTCTCACATGTCCTGACCTGACTCTGCTCCACAGCCCGTACCATGCCCTGCTGCTGCTCAGTGACGAGAAGTCCCTGCTGGGTGAGCTCCCCCTTGACTGCTCCCCAGCCCTGGTGCGTGTGATCAAGACCACGTCTGCCGTGAAGAACCTGCAGCAGCTGGCCCAGGATGCAGACCTGGCCTTGCTGCAGGTATTGCTCTGGGGTCCTTGGGGAGACACCCTGGATAGGGAAGGATGGGTGGGAGCAGGGGCTGGGTACAGCAAAGCAGGTGACCCTCGGGTGAAGGTGGGAGGTGCTGGGTGTCAGGAAGGCGGGCTGCCTCTGTCCAGAAGGAGCTGGTGACAGGTGGCTCCGAGATTGGCTAGAGGTTCTGGAATCCGAGTCAAGCTTGGATTCAGGGCTGGCTTGTGAACTAGCTGCAGGGCTGACTTCCTCCTTCTTTGGGGTGGTGAGGCTGCAGCAGAGAGTGAGACCCTCTGGTGCTAGGAAGATGGGATGCCAGGGAAGGGTGGCTTGCAGGGCTGAAGCAGAGGCACACAGTGTGTGGCCACATGAGGAAGCAGTACCGCATCCTCAAAGTAGGGGAAGTGAGAGCAGGACACAATGTGCACCTGCCCATGTGCAGAGCCAGGACCTAACCTCATGGCTTGACCACTACCCTGTATGGGGGTGAGTGTGTGTTCTGTGCGAGGTGCCACCCTCTGGCTGAACCATGTGTTTGTGGGCTGTCCTTTCTGATTGAATGGAGGATCCCTCAGTCCTGGCTGTGGATCTGGTTGGAGCCTGGGCAGGGGTTGTCAGGGGGCTTCCAAGGAAAAGCCCCGATAGAAATTGCATGCCAAGGGCAGGGGCTCCTCTGGTCCCCGTGACATTGAGCACCGTGTGGCCACCAGAGGGCAGCAGGGCCTGTCCCAGGGACGTGTAGTTCTTGCAAAGGCCAATGGGCGGCAGTTTTCTCAGGCTGAGCTGAGGAGGAGCACAGACAAGAGGCTGGCCCACCTGGGCCCCGGAGAGGTGTCAGTGAAGTTTGTCCAACACCTGACTCTCGGGCTTTTTTCCCCAAAGCAGTCATTTGGATTTTGTCATCCAGAATAAGGCCTTCCATCGTCTGTACCTTATGATCTTAGTTGGCCCCTGTGAGAGTGGTATTGGATTCTGCCTTGGTGTTTCATATGGGCTCTAGTGAGGACCATGTCCTGCTTGCCTTCATAGCATCCATGAAACACAGAACCTTAAATGTGCTCACTGTTCTGTATGCACTGCAGAGCTTGGTTTCTGACCAGTACTGGCTAAGTGGCAGATATCTGTGGTTCTTTGCAGCTCCCATTTCAGGCTTTGAAAGATGCTGACCTTTACTGTCCACTGAGGCTGCCAATGGAGTCTGTCTGGACACCGTGCCTCACCCTTGCTGTCAGTCTCTTTGGACAAAGACAAAGCTTTGATGATGTCTCCTTTGCTTCCCCTGCCCTGGCCTTGCGGTGGGGACAGACTGTTGTTTCCTTGCATAACCACTGCTGATGTGGTTGTATGGAAGCTCCCTGAGGCCCAGCCCTGGTAGTGGAGCTCACCAACCTCTGGGACTCCAGCTTCCTATGGTACATGGCCCAGTGGAGATCCCATGTCAGCATCAGGTGTGAATGTTGCCAGATGATTTTAAATCACTCATCTACAAGTAAGTGGGATTCTTTTGGTCATGATAAAATTAATATGTTCTTTCTTACAAAAGTTCAAAATAACACACAAATTATAGACACAAAAAGAGAAAGTCCCCACAGTTCCATATCCCAGACATAACCACTCTAGATTTCTCCAGGTTTTTTTCATAGGTTAACACATCTTTGACTAACAAAATTAGGATCACACTACATTACTTGTGATTGGCTGAAAAATGCCCACAGACCTCCACCTTCTAATCTCCAGGACTTGTGAATGTGACCTTGTATGGGACTTTGCAGGTGTGATTAAGGATCTTGAGATGGGGCAATGGTCCTGTATTATCTGTGTGGGCCCAGTATCATCACAGGGGCCCTTGTAAGAGGGAGGCAGAGGGAAATGTAACTATAGAAGAGGAGGTAGTGATGTGACCATGATGTGGCCACTCACCAAGGAACACTGCAGCTAGCAGAGGCAAAGAACATTCTTCCTGAGAGCCTAGAGAGAGCTGCTCTGCCAGCACCTTGACTTGAGCCATGTGGTAGTGATGTTAGACTTGAATGGTGCTCTGACTGCAGGAGAGGCAGGAGGTGGAGACCACTGGGTAGGGATGGTGGCAGAGATGGAGGAAATTGGGCGTATCCTTGGTTTAGAGTAAATGGCAGTGGGGCTTGGGATGAGAGAGAAGAGGGTCAGTGATGGAACTGAAATTCCTATTGTGTTCAAGTTGGTGGTGCCACTGGAGGTCCCGTGTGCTGAAATAAAGTAGAGGTGTCCTTGGCAGTGTAGCAGGTGTTGCATGTAGATAGAGTTGACTCACCCCCTCAGAGACACTCAGTGATGGTAAAGAGGGGCAGCAGGCCCACCTGGGACAGTGCTTACCTAGGGTGACACAGAATCAGAAATGCCCAGTGTCTTTCTTTCCATGAAGTGAGGCAGTGCCATGTTCTCAGACCTGGCCTCTGCTTGGGAGTCTGGAAGGGATTTCTGGCATCTTGTTCTGTTTGTGGCCCATCCTGATGTCCAAGAGTCCAGGAGAGCAGGGCAGTGGGATGTTCTCCAGGATGCTAGGGGACACAGGGATGAGTGCATAGGGTAGAGGGCTTGTCCAGTGACCCCACATCCATTGTCACGTGGAAACCCATCCCCACGCTGGAGTTCTGGTGAGGGTGGGGAGCCAGCCTCTGCCAGGATGTCCGGCCAAGCCTCTTACTCAGCTGAACTTACCCCGTGATCCTGGGTGTCTTAAATGTCCCTGTGCTTCTGGGACCTTTCCTCAGTGCCAGCCAGGATGGGAAATGACAGTCTCAAACTGCACAGGGACCAGTGATAAAACGGCATGTTGCTCTGAGCACAGGAAACGCTATGTGTGCTTACTGTGCACCTGGGGGAGGTTGGGTAGTCAGGAAAGAAGCCCCAGAGATCAGGCCCCCAGGCTGTGTCCTGCCAGCCCCCTCTGCCTGCAGGTTTTCCAGCTTGCAGCTCACCTGGTGTACTGGGGCAAGGCCATCATCATCTACCCACTGTGTGAGAACAACGTCTACATGCTTTCCCCCAATGCCAGCCTGTGTCTGTGAGTACCTTTGGCCACCAAAGCCCAGGGCTCCTGAATGGGAAGGGGGGGTTGGCTGGCAGGGCCTTCCCGGTGGTGCTCCCCAGGTCAGCCAGGACTTCACTTGGACCAGATGCGTGGCCTCTGCCGTGCCCAGGTTCTAATTCTGGCCTGGTCCAGCACCATGTGGCCCTCCCTGGACCTGTGCTCCTCTTGCACCTGTAGCCCCAGGAAGGGCCTGTGCTTGCCATGTCTACAGCCAGTGAGCTCTGAATGGGGTGCCTGATGGGAGGTCAGGAGCCTTGGCCTTGATTTGGGAGCTTAGAGGGGCTGTGGGGTGGCCTGTGCACATTCATGGCTTCGCTGGGCTCTGTCCTCGTTGCACCCATTCTGACCTATCTACCATGCTGCACTTCCCTGCTGCCCACCGCAGGCTCATGGCAAGGGTACGAGTGCTGTGAATCATGATGGGGAGTTCGCTGAGCTCACAGACACACTTGTCTCACCTGTCTCCAGGTACTCCCCACTGGCCGAGCAGTTCTCCCACCAGTTCCCGTCTCATGACCTGCCATCTGTCCTTGCTAAGTTCTCCTTGCCTGTCTCCTTGTCAGAATTTAGGAACCCCCTCGCCCCCCCTGTGCAAGAGGTGAGTCGCAGGAGCTGGGGGAGCCTAGGAACCACCCACCCAGCGTTGGTTCCTGATCTAAGGGCCCTCAGTACTGCTGCACCCTTAGCTTTGGTTGGGAGGGGCCTTGCTATGTAGGTGGTACATGCCCTACCAGGGTAACAAAAAGCTGGCTCCCCAGCCAGGCTACCTGGAGATGCTTGACCAGTGACTCAACACTTAGGCCATCACAACTCCCTCCCACCCCCCTACCCCCATGGAGCCCACCCTGGCTGCAGTGGGTTGTTAGTGTTAAAACCACATTAAGAGAGTGCCCAGTCAGGAGAGTGCTGATCTTTTGTGGGAGGACAGAGCCACCTGGTGTCCCTTTCTGGGCCTGGGTCTTGGAGGGTGCAGAGATAGTTTTGTTTTCACTGAGCCTAGGCCCCTCCCTCCTTTGGTCCAGGTGGTCACTGGGTCTAGGCTCACTGGTACCCAGAATCTCATCCAAGAGGACCTGGCAAGGATAGGCCTGGGATAGGACCCCCCAGTGGATTTGGGTCAAGGCGAGGGGTGGGTGGGTGGCTCCAGGAGTTGTGAGGTGTGTGGAATGAACGGATGAGTTCTGTCTATGTCTATGGCAGGGTTGGATGTGGCCTGGGTCTTCCCCTCCACTGAATGCCTGGGGCTCTGGGCAGGGACCCAGGGCAGGGCCAGATGGGACAGGTGTCAGAAATGGGGCTGGGTGTTCTCGAGGCTTTGTCTTCAAAAGTAAAGTATTTGCTTTAATAAGCAGCAGATCTGTTAGGCAAAACCAGTTTTTAGAAGCAAGCCCTTTCCTTTGTTAAATTGTGAATGAGAAGGAGATCCTGGTTACTCAGTTCATTTAGATGCTGAGTGAGACAAGTTCTAAATGCCGTCTTTCATGGAGCCTTTGGTCTCCAGGAACTGTGCCAGCTCATGCCAGCTGAAAGAAAGACACATTTTGCATCTGTACTCTTCCCCCTCTCCAGTAGAAACTTCCTGATGGTCTGGAAGGTGGGTGGATTTTTCAGGCCATGCCTGAGGGGCAGCCTCATGTCTCATCAGGGGGCCCAGATGGAGCTGGATTTGGTTTTGCACAGTCCCGGGTGAGGCTGCTTGCCTCTCACCCCACCTGCTTCAGGCCTGGAATATGCTCTTCAGTGCTCTGGAGCCTCTGTTTTATTAATTTATTTTCAAGTTTATTTTATAGTCCTCTTCAGTTTTGTTTGGTTTTACATGCCTGTGGTACACCCCTATTTCCACGCCTGGTCAGTCAGCCAGGAGGGGACCCCCAAAGATGAGCACGCGGATATGTGTGTCTGAGAACATGGACATCATCTGCAAGCATTTTTCTGATCACCTGTGCTGGAGCTCTGGCCATACAGGGCTCCTCACTGCTCCTAGTCAGGTGTTAGCCTTGTGGGAGAGGAGTGGATGCATGCCCTAGGGACTGCACAGCTCAGCATGGTTCCTGTCCCTGGCAGGGTTTTGTGTTGATCTGAGGACTTCATGCTCTCAGGGCAGCTACCCACAGCTTCTTTCTGAAGTGTCACAGGGAGGGGGTCCCACAGACCCAGCTCTGTGTAGTGGTAGGACTCGAGTGGCAGGGACCAGTGGGTTGGGGAAGACAGGAGGGCAGCGGAGGGGCAGCTCAGAGCTGGGAGTGGCTAAGAACTCCTTCCTGACTGAGCACCCCTGGAACTAATTCATGCACCCACTCTGATCTCCAGGGTGACTTGTGGGGATCGTGTCTTAGGCCATGGCTCCCCAATCCTATCAGGAAGGGAAAAGGGTGCTTTTGGGGGGCCAGCCTCTCCCAGTGCTCCAGGCCTCACACTCCCTCTTCTGCAGACCCAGCTCATTCAGATGGTGGTGTGGATGCTGCAGCACAGGCTCCTGGTCCAGCTGCACACCTACGTTTGCCTGATGGCCTCGCCCAGCCAGGACGAACCCCGCCTGCGTGAGGACGAGGTCCCCTTCACTACCAGGGTCAGCGGCCGCAGCCTCAGCACACCCAATGCCCTCAGCTTTGGCTCCCCAAGTAGGAATCCCTGTCCAGGGCATCTATCTGGTTGCGGAGGTGGGAGCACCTGGGGAACACCAGGGAGTGGTGGCCAGGAGATCCAGTAAGGGCATTGCTGGGAATGACTGAGGGACCTTCACATGGCCACACAGGCACACAGCTGCCTCTCACATAGGCAGCTGGGTCCTCATGCAGACAGCCTCCCATAAAGGACAGGAGACCCCTCTCCCTTGCTTCCCTGCACCTCTGTGGCTCTGAGAAGGCTGTATCTTTGGACTCTTGAGCAGAGGCTCACTCAAGCCAGGAGCAGCCTACTCCCAGCCTGCCATGTCATCCATCACTGGGAAGACAATTGAAACCTCTGTGCCCCAGGGCCTATGAGGAGACAGTGACTGTCATGGTTCCTTTTTTTTTAAAAAAAGTATCTTTATTGATTTCAGAGAGTCAAAAGGAGAGGGAGAGAGAGAGAGAAACATTGATGATGAGAGTGATTGATCGGCTGCTTTCTGCATGCCCCTGACTAGGGATCGAGCCAGCAACCCGGGCATGTGCCCTGACCAGGAATTGAACCCCGATCGACACTCAGCTGCTGAGCCACGCCCAGCCAGGCAATGGTTCTGTCTTGAAAGAGCCTTGTGGCTATAGTGTGCCCCGAAGGCAGTAGCCCATTGCCAAGCCCCAAGTCCTTGGGCTTGGGGAAGAAGAGGGGCTGGAAGGCCTTGCGGGTAGCGCCCCCCCAGGCTGAGGCTTGGCCTTGGGCTTCAGGCTCAGTGTGCGGACCTGGCTTGCTTCTCATGCATATTGGGTGAGAGGGGTGTCCTCGGGGGGCTGACTGCTCCCTAACCCATGCCCACCCACAGCCAGCAGTGACGACATGACGCTCACTAGCCCCAGCATGGACAACTCCAGTGCAGAGCTTCTCCCCAGTGGAGACTCCCCGCTGAACAAGAGGATGACAGAGAACCTGCTAGCCAGCCTGTCAGAGCACGAGCGGGCGGCCATCCTCAGTGTGCCTGCAGCCCAGAACCCTGAGGACCTCCGCATGTTTGCCAGGTGGGAGTGGGGTGACTGGTGGGGCTGGGCCCAAGTCTAGGGTCAGGACAGGAAGTGGATGGGGATATACCCAGCAGACCCTAACTTAAATCCATTGTTGACAAATGGCATTCACTGGTTGAGGTGATGTCTCCTGTACTGGGCTGTCCTTACCTGGTACCTGTGTATGCCAGGCATGAGGAGTCCAGTCTGTTGCTGAGACACTAAGTCTGGGACCTTTGCCTTTGGGAGTCTTCCTAGGAAGCAGCAGGAAGTTCTCATCCTCATGAGGCTTGGCAGGGATTTTTCCCAGGACTCTTAGCCTAGGGGTGGGGGATCCAGATTCCCACATCATAGGTGACAGACTTTGTCACACACACCCCTGACTTGGGGGGCACTGTAGGTGTGTGGTCTTCTGGAAGAGGTCAGGCTGTCAGGGACAGAGCCCCCAGTTAAGAACCACATGCCAGGCAGACCTAGCCACGGATGCCCCCTAGAGCAGTGACCTCTTTGGATTCAGAGCCACATGGGGCTCATTGCCATAGGAGCATGAAAAAGGGAAGCCTCTAGCAGACCTGTCCTCCTGCGCTGCTGCCACCCGTGTCAGAATGCTGAGGGTGGGTGTCACCTTCAGGCTCAGGTGGGTTCCGAGGTTTGAATAGTAATGTGTTCTTGCGGATCCACTTCAGGGGACCATGGTGGGCAATGGGTACAGGACTCTTGCCTGTTCCTGTTGGGGGGGACATGGACAGCTGCCTCCCTGGGCCTCTGAGATGCCCCCACGAGCTCTGTTTTGGCCTGTGGCCTGCTCAGTGGCTGTCAGAACAGAGGCCAGCCTGTGCCACCCTTCCCCTCTAGGCTCCTGCAGTACTTCCGTGGCCGCCACCACCTAGAGGAGATCATGTACAATGAGAACACAAGGCGCTCCCAGCTGCTCATGCTCTTCGACAAGTTCCGCAGTGTGCTGGTGGTGACCAACCATGAGGACCCAGTTATTGCTGTCTTCCAGGCACTGCTTACATGAGCCTGGCCAAGGATGCAGAGGCAGGCTGTTTCAGTGGGTGGGGGCACTGGCAGCTCCCCACCCAGGGCTCCCTCCCTGCCTGGCCTGAGTACTCTTAATCCTGAGGTCCCAGTCCAGCCACCTCATGGGGCTGCTACCCTCTGCATTCTCACTTATCTAGTCCTCAAAACAGATCCAGTGTCCGAGCTGAGAGGTGAGGCTTCGAGCTAGTGGCAGCATCCAGGACTCATGTTCTGAGGGATGCCTGCATGCTTCCAAGATTTGGGCTCCTTGTTTCTCTAACCTTTCTCTCAACCCTGCCTGTGTTCCTTGGCCCCTTCCACTGCTGCCCTTCCAAGACTCTGAGGGCCCAGTGCCTGGCCTGGTCTGTGTGACCCAGCACTGCCCCATTCTTTCCAGCTTGCTGTGGGCCTTTCCTAGCCTGGTTCTCACCACAGCCCTGTGTTAGTTACCAGGAGGCTCATGGCAAAGCCACACACACCCCTTTGCCACCTGAGGAATGAGGGCCTAGGCTGATCCACGGTGCTTGCTTGGCTTCCCCCTGGGGGTGGGGTCTGCACTGGTGTTCCCAGTCCTCCTTCACATGGGGGGAGGGTACAGGAAGGGAGGCCTGTATCAGGCCTGAGGAAGGAAGTATCCGTGCTGGGCCTGGCTCTATGTACCCTGCTGTCAGGGCCACTGACATCCCCATCCTGGAGGAAGAGCTGATCGTTGAGGGGGGCTCTGGCTGAGACACAAGCAACATGTTTTCTAGAAATGAAGCATTTATTTGGTTTTTAAACAATTAAAAAGCCTGTCCCGAGTAGGCCCTTGCTCAGATCTGTGTGTCCTGCTCAGCCATTCTGTCTACCACACTGACCCAGGGGCTGCCCTGGATATAGAAGCGCAGGGGCTTCTGGGCCCACTCTCCTGCGTTGCCAATGCCCACTCGGGCTGCTGCCACCACAGCTGGCTCCTTGGGCCCTGGGGGACTGTGCTCTAGCCACACAGCCTTGTCCTTGGTCAGGTCTCGTTGGTCAAAGCTCTTGTCAATGGCCAGGGCCTGACAGAGCTTGGAGGGGCCACTGCAGAGCTCACGGTCTTTGAGGGCTCGGCCAGTATTGCCTTTCCGGTAGGTGCTTCGAAGCTGCCGCATGGTCTCCAGGCCCCCCAGGGGCTCCAGTGCTCTCAGCAGGACACATGCCCCATCCCCTGTGGGACACACAGTGATTGGCTCTCCCTACCCCAGGGCACAACCAATGCTGCAGAGATGACGCAGCTGCCTTCCTGAGCACTCCTATACTCATTCACTGTCCTGACCCACTGGCTGCCACTCCCTCCTACACACCTGTATCCATAAGGCCTCAGGTGGGGCCTCCATGAAGCCAGAGGGCCTGACCAGCTAGGGAGAACTAGTAAAAATGCATAGCAAGTGCTTGTAGTTGGCCGCCTCCTGGCTTCCTCTAGTTTGGTGACCAGCAGCAGCTTTGAGGCTGGCAAAGGAAACCCCAGATGGCTAGTCCTCCCTGGGCATGGTTACCCCACCAGAAGGTGGAAGCAGAAACACTCAGGCCTGGCCCAGATCCCTACCTAGCCTCAGGGTCCCCCATCCACCTCTACCCATTCAATGTCTATTGGGCAAGCCAGAAGGTTGGCTCAGAGCAGCTACCAGTGTGCACAGGATGCTGGGTGAGCCCCACCCCATGACCCAGTGGGGAGACTAACAGGACAGAAGGAGGTACCTGCTGATAGCACCTTTGGGATCCCTTCTGGCCCAGCCCTCCCTCACCAGTCCAGGCTACTTCAGAGACAAACTGACACTCAGGCCCAAGAAGACACAGTTGTCCAAATTCCCTTGGCCCTGCATGGCTAGGGGCAGTGACTACCTGGAGCCTCAATCCCAGCAAGGCCATTCTCCTTAGACACCACCTCTCCTGACTCACTTTGGCTTAATCTTCCACCTGGGAGTCTGAGAGGCTCAGCTTGAGGGGTGACCAGGCCAGTCCCCACTCCTGGGCCTCACCATACAGGCCTCATCAGCACCTGGGAGCAGGCCCTGAGTGGACACAGCAGCTATACCATTCTGCACAGCCAGCAGCTGGCAGTGGGGTTTTTGTGACCAGACACTTTTAACCAGCCAGTTTTCAAAGGACCTCAGGATAAACTGAGGGCACTCAAAGACTTGAAGTTCCAGTCCTTCTAATTCCTGTGCCCTGCCCAGCTCACTAGCCTCAGGGCTACCTCTGTGTCCACCCTGAGCCACTGTGGGTGTACATTTCCCCCACTGTCTCACTAAGCTCCCAAATGGAGCGGCCTACCCCATCCATCACAACCCCCCCTCCTGGAACACATCTGATTCCCACACCCTGACATAAAATCATAACACCCTAATTTCCCACCCAGTCTCCACTCTCACCACTGCTTGGCCTGCACCACCTGTGTGCCTCGGCAATCCCACCTAACTGCTCTTCTGGTCATCTCTCCGCCGCCACCACCCTGAGGGCAGGCTGGCATGGAGCATGTGCTTGGCCCCTCTTTTCCCTTGGTGCACCTGGATAACCTTTGACCCTGACTCTGTACCCATGTGGTTTGCTGCCCCCCCTGAAGTAGGTGTTCCTGGGGCATCTTGGTCATGTGCCCAGAAAATAATACCCCCCCCCCATGTCTGCCCTGTCTACCCTCAGAAGCCCTGGCTCCTCCTTCCCTTCTGACAACAGCTCCAGACACCTCTGGACTCAGTCACTCTCCTTATCTGAGTCCAGTCCCACCTCACGTGGGGTGATTGGTTCCATTGCCAAAGAAATGCGTGACCAAAATAAGCTCTCCAGGATGACAACTGGGCCCTGTGGGGTGGTCCCCACCATCCTGACATCCAGTCACTTAGTTTCACCCTTTTTGTGCCAGGCACAGGGCCAGCCATAGGTTACCCCCATCCTCTTGCCCCTGCAACTCTGGCAATGAACATCCCCAGCTGTCCTCTCTGGGCAATCACAACTCCCATGTCACTGGAATCATTCAACAAATGTGTGTGACTTACCACATACCAAAACCCATCCCCTCACTGGCTTCCTCAAGCATTCATTCATCCTGGGACCAGCAAGAGGAGGTTGGCAGCCAGCCAGACGGCTGTCTAGCCAGAGTGGGGGGGCAGGCCCTGCTTCTGGTCAGCAGTGGCTCTGACCTACAGGATGGTGCTGTGGGCTCTTTGTCCCAAGAACACACCACCAGAAAACATAGCCACCTGCTCCCAAAGGACAGAGGCTGCCCCAGGCAGGTCTCACAAGGTGAGTGCGTTCTCCTGGGAGCTCTAGTCCAGCATCTCCCTACTCTGCACTACTGACATTGGGGTGGGTGGTTTTCTGTGGTGTGTGTGGGGGGGTCTGCTGTGCATTGTGGGCTGTTCAGCATCATCCCACCAGCTGTGATGACCAAAAATGTCTCCAGACATTGCCCAATGTTCCTCCAGGGTGGCAGAATCATTCCGGGCTGAGAACAACTGATTCAGACCCCATAACTGGCGGCCTGGCAAGGCTCTGGCACTCAACTCAAATAGATTTCACCCTCCTTTTCCCACAACCAGCCCCTCCTGAGTCTACCCTGGCCTACTGGTGATACCAGGTCTGAGCTCTGGGACCAGTGGTGGCCTCATGGAACCTGTGTGCTCTGTGTTCAGGTCAACCCATGACCTCTATTTCATGGGGTCCCCGGCCTCTTTGACCACCCTGTGAATATAGCCAGAGCTCTTGAAACCCTGACCTAGTCTAGCAATGGCACCTCCTTGCTCAAGCACCTGCCCCACCCTGGTGTTCCAGGGGGTTTCCCAGCTGCCAGCTGAGGGAGCTGTGCCCAAGCCTCCCACTCCAGGCCCCAGCACTGCTCACCTCGGCTGGAGACATTCATGCAGAAGTACATGCCATAGATGAAGTACACATACAGGGTCCCTGGCTTCATGAACATGCCGCGGTTGCGAGGGGTCTGCCGGCCACCCCTCGAGTGGGCAGCTTCATCCTCTGGCCCCAAATATGCCTCAGTCTCCACAACACGGCCACGGAGTTCTGTGCCATCATCGAGTCGCCGAACCAAGACCTGTGGGTAGTCAGTGTCAGCTCAGAGCAGGAAGGGACAGGTCCACTCCACCTGACAGTCCACAGCCTGGACCTCACCTCCCTAGCTCAGGGTGCACCAGGGCCAGCCAGTGTCCCCTGTCTTGCTGGGCCACCGGACAACAGGCCTTGCTTACTGTCTTGGCCACAGGTTGCAGCCACTTCAAGCTCTGGCCTTTGCTGAGCTGCAAACCAGCACTAGTGAATTCACGTACTCTGTGTCCTCTCAGCGGGGCCTCCATCACACTGCCTCCTCCCCTCCGAGTCCCCCTGAATTTACATGCTTAGGCTGGGGCAGGGCAGCTTGGAGGGCACCCAGTGGTGTCCCCACATTGCTGCCTGGGATGCTTTAGAAGCTGTGGACTAAACATAAAGTCCTGTCACACTGAGCTCCTGCCCACCATCTCTGAAAGGCCTTTCTGAGCAGCAGGACTGGCTGACCTCCAGCGCTCCTGGCCTGAACCATGGCCCTGGGTGTAGCCAGCTCCACAAGGAATGGGGTCAGTGTGGGCAGCGGGCCAAGAAGATCAGCCTAGCTGCAGCTGGCTAGGACAGTACCCGGGGCAGGGGTGGGGCCAGGAGGGGACAAAGGGGCCAGCCGAGGACGGGCAGTTGCAGGGGTTGTCACCAGAGGGGCGGGTGCGCTCAGGCCAGCAGAGCATCTAGGAGAGTAGCCCAGGGGAGCCAGGGAGGGCCTGTGGAGTGTTGAGCATGCCAGGGAGTCAAACCCTCCTAGCCTGGAGCCCCTCTACCCTATAGAGGTGACCATTTCTTGGCTGCACAGCACAGTATGGCCCTGGGAATGAACAGCAGTTACATCTGGTGTCCAAAGCCTCAGGCCTGACTCGAGCAGGTTTCACAGTGGAGTTTTTGGGGCAGCCACCTCCCCAGGGACGTGCCCAGCACCTCCTTGTCCTTAGGCCAGAGCAATCAGTTGGAGAGCCAGGCCACCCCTGCCTGAGCCCAGGGAGCCCAGTGTGTCCGCAGCCAGGATCAGTGTCATGTGACAGAGGTGAGTGCTGAAGCCTGGACACTCAGTGGGGCAGTGTTGGAGGAGGCCTTCCTGAGACAGGGTGGAGGAAGGAAGGGGGTCGATGCCTCCCCTGGAAGCCCATCTCCAGGCAAGAAAGGGAGGCCGTGTTCCATCTCAGGTGAGGCCTCGCTTCCATCCTTCCAGGAGATGAAGAGGACGTTCCTCCCCCATTAGCTTCCCTCTTCTTGTTCCCACACCTCCGGAGGCCTACTGGGGGGGCAGCTGCCCTTCTGGAGAGGAGCTTCTCATGGCTCTTCTCAGTTTTTTTTGTTTTGTTTGAATTTTCTGCTCTGAATTTCACTCTGGTAAAATTTCCAGATAGTAGATGTTGTTTGCCCCCCATGCCCATTACAAACACATCTCCTCCTTGCTGGTGGAGGGTCCTGGGGGAGGCAACACCCCTCTCAGCCAAGAGGGTGACTTGAGAGTACTCTGGGTGTCATGGCAACTCACTGTTCCTTGCAGTGACCTGTAGGGGGATGTCCCAAGCCTGACCAAGGAGTCTGCAAGGACATCCACTGGGAGGCTGTAAAAGAAGCTGTCCTCCCTGACCACAGGGACACAGGGTGAAGCCCTCCTCTGCTGGCTACTGCCCTGTCTATCCTTGGCACAAGCAGGCATGATGGGAGCATAAGGAAAATTGTGACATGCTGAGGCCCTTGGGCCCTTGACCTGATGCTGGGACCCCCTGCCCAGCATTTTATGTGAGAGCATAAACCCTCATTACTTAGGGTTCCTTTAGAAGGATCTTTTGGCCCTTGCAGCTGAAAGCATTCTCGTGGGAACAGATCTGGTTCTTACCCACTAAGTTCTACTTTAAGTTACAATCCACTAGCCCACATTTTAGGATCTGTTCCTTTCAGCACCCAACTCCTGGCACCAATTTTTCTATTAGTCACAGAAACTGATTCACCTTGGTCATTTTAACCTAAAAGTAGTCTCATGAAATGACACATGGAATCTCGAAGAGGACCAGAAAACCAGGCCTGGAGTTTGACACCCAGGAAGAACACCCAGATGGTGCTCCAGACAGATGTGGCCAAAACTTTGCTGTTGCTGGTACATGGGCCCTGCACCATCCCTGCTTCCCAGTCCAGACCTTGAACCTGCTTTGAACTACAGGGGCCACTGGGGAGCCAGCGCTAGCACTGTGGTGAGCAGGAGGCTGTGTGTCAAAGCAGTCCTGACACTGGGCAGTCTGAAGGCCATGGCCACCGCTCTCATGTCGCTTAAAAGCTGTCACTACTACACAAAGACAAGCTAGAGAGGGGCACTGTGTTGGGGGACAGAGCAGACAAAGCCCCTTACAGACACCGGGACCAGCACTTGAAAGAAACCTGCCCTGAGGGCAATACCAGGTGGAGAAGGCTAGTCCCGCCAGTGCCAGAGTGGGCAGACAGTGGCTCCCCTGCCTCCACTCAGGGCAGACACCACTGACAATCTCAGCATTCCTCCCACTGATCCTGGACCCACCCCCTCCCCAGATGACTGAGGTGAAGCTATCCAGGAACAAGTGTGGGCAAAGCAGCTAACTGCATGAGTACAAGCAGGGCCAAGTCGGGGACGTGAGCCTGGTGGTGAGAGGTCTGGGGCCAGATATTGCATGGTGATGACTTCAGCAGAGGCCATGTCGTACGTTTACATTACCTGTCCTAGAAACGCCCGGGCCAGGGGGACTGCAGGCTGGTCGAAAAAGTCTGATCCCAGTCGAGCAGGGTGGTCTTTTGGGCTTGAGAAATAGATACTGCGCTGGGGACCCAGGGTCTTGGGCAGACTCAGGTGGGGCTCCTTGGGGGAAGGGGTTTCGGTTCCATCTGGTGGGCTCTGATGACGCTCTGCCTCCAAAGGTCGCTGCTTTTTTTGCCCTAGTTTGTGGGAAAGCTGTTATAGGAAAGAACAAAATAAAGTATCTGAACAGGAGAGGGCAGAGGCCTGTGCGGTGGAGTATGACTTGCAGGACTGTATTTGACTGCCTGCCTCAGTTTCCTCATTTGCAAATTGAGGGAAACCATTTTGTGCAAACAGAATGCCAGACCTGATGTGCTCAGCCCCTTGGGCTCGAAAGGGTCGCAGGAGACCTTGGGAAATGAGTGCATGTGAGGAAAGGTTAGTGGCAGCGGTGACGTGGTGATCACTCTGCTTCACACACTCACCACATGCAGATGTACAGTGGCAAAGGGCTGCAGGGTCCAAGGAGTGGGCGCCCGAGGCTGGGACAGTGGGTACCCTCTGATTCCCATTTATCACATGGATCCCAAATGAAATTCTGAGCTTGGTTTTGGAACCCTTCCCTTCATACCTGACCTTAACCAGGAATTTGGTGGGGGAATGAACTGAGGGTCAGTCAGTGTGTCATCCAACACCCCCTCCTCCACCAGCGACACACCCACTGTGCCAGACCCCACCTCAGAATGGCCCAGAAGGTCTGACACACACAGGTGGGCGAACACCAGGCTGACCATCTGCTTGGCCCCACTCCAAGCTCATGACCCCCCAGTGAGTCCCCAAATGTCCTCTGCATCATGACCCAGGATATCAGGATGGTAAGAAGCAAGTAGGGCAAAGGTGAGGTCTCCTGGGGGACGAGGAGGATCGGCTGAAACCCTGCACAGCTTCTGCCTTCTACCTGCCACAACGTCCCCCCAGCCCCACTCCTACCAAGGAAACCTGAGCGCACACCCCTGACTGTTCTAGGAACAGCTGATCTCCAAAGAGCAGGGGGGGATAAAGGGAGCAGGTGAGCATCAGGGCCTGGAAACATCAAGGACTGATCTTCAGCAGTACCCATGTCTCCCTAGCATGTGACACACCCATTATTTTTAACATAAGTGCTGACGTTCCATGATGAGCGGAGACCGCCAGTCTGCTGAGAATGGACGCTGACGTGACCGTCTTTGCAGTCCAGCCCATCTGCCAATACCCACCATGGGCTCAGACTCTGGGACGCGGATGCCCCTGCTCTCGCCCCGAGTTTGGCCCCTGGCCTGCCTCATAGCACTTGGGTCACTCTGGGTCTCTGCCCTGGCCCACCCTGGATGGTGAGGGACTCATATGACTGAGGCTCAGAGAGGCCTCAGCTTCCCCATTACAGACCTAAGATTCGAAACTGCCTCAGAGGCCTTGGTGGTGACCGTGATGCCAGCTATTTAACCTGAGGGCAAAGGAACGGGATCACCCTGCTGTTGCACTCAAGGGTGAGTGGGGCCTCAAATGGTGCATCTGGGTGCCTCACATGCATCACCTGGACCTGGTTAGAAATGAGGGTTCCCTGAGATTCCCCAGAAAATGACCGAAGGTGTCTGACACTGTGTTCTCATCTACAGTAAGGGAACCAACCACATCTGCACTGAAAATGAAACGAGAAGCCAGATAAGCATCTGGCTGGCATACAGCAAGCCCTCAGTGAACAGAAGGAACACTGCCACTGGGGATGCCTGTGGGCAAAACCTGGGGACAAGAGTTTCTTGTCACGCTTGGGAGGGCCTGGCATGGAAGGGGGTCTCCGAGGTACCCACCAGCCCTCCATCAAAACCAGGGCAAACAGGGAGTTAGTAAATAAAGGGAGGGCATTTATCCAGCTGTGACAGACACTAGGACCAACTGCTAGGCCAACCCTATGGTCCTTTACTTCTGGGGCAGGCTGGCTCCTGGGGCGGGAGCGTCTGAGCTGGGCCTATGTGCTCAGCATTTAACCGGCACAGGGGTCTCCCCGAGACCTCCCTGGAGACCTCGGACCGGGCCTCTGGCAAACGGAGCCCCGCCAGGAGCCCGACCCCGCCGCCGGGCGCTCGCCCGGGAACCGCAGACCCCGTCGGGGGCCCGCCGCGCGCACGTTACTGGCTTCCTGCGGGTTTTGCGACTCCGGGTAAGATTGTCGCCCCCGGAGACTGATCCTCGGCCTCGCGCGGAGCGAGACGCGCTCTCCCCTGGGCGCGCACTCACCTGGGCCGCCCTCCGCACGGGCATCCC